GTCTCCCAATCTATATTACTTCAGATTTGGTTTATTTATAATCCTTATGTATTTACTTTTACTGAGATAGGATTAAATTTTTTTAAAAAGCTCCAAAAAATCCTTATCTCATACTCAGTTTCAGTTCACCAACAATCAACTAAAGTGGTAGTCTGAGGTTTTTTTTTTTTTTAAGTGGTTCTTATAGTGTCCAAGCTGAAAAGGCATTAATTGGTCCCCTGAGTGTCCTCATTTCATTATATGAATTATTTCCAACTCAGTTTGGTTTGTGAAATCATGGCATCATATTTTCCTATTTATTAGAAAAGGGGCAGGGTCAGTGGCACATGAAAAGACACAGAATCATCACAAGTAACTTTTTTCTCTTCCAAGTTTTGACTCATACCTATAGTTAATTACTAATAACCCACATTGTCCAACCTTGTCTTCCCTCCATGCCTGAATGGCCTCTGGCTATGCCTTGAGCACTTCACTACCAAACTAGTCATTAATGCCAGCCAAGATGATTTCTTGAAGATTATGGTTTTTTAAAAAACAGACAAAAAACACTTTGTTCTGTGCAGAGGATAAAATGGATGTTAATTACTTTTTCCTTTCAAAAACATACTGTCCTGTGGTATTTGATATATATCACATATGATTTTAGTGTATTTCCATGAAAGCTGAATTTTCAGTGTTTAGGATTTTACTCATAATCACCATGCTTTAATAAACTCTTTGCCATTGTATTAGGAAAATGGAGAAAACTTTATACCATTTGAAGAGGAACTAGAATATTTTCACTATTGTATTTACTTTTGCATCTTATTTTTACTTTGCACACAAAATGTATCAAGAAAATATTGGGCTTTTTTTTTTTTTTGTGGTATCGGGGATCAAACCCACACCCTCACACTTGCCAAACAGGCACTTGTGCCGAAAATATTTGGCTTTTAGATTTGAAAAGAGGGAGTAGAAATAGAAATGCTTAACTATTAGCATAAAACTTCACTGGAATACTTTCTTCTAAAATCCTATTGACAGATTGAAAAGAATTCTTGTTCTGCCATTATTGATGGAAAGTGGAATTTAGGATTATTTTATTGGTCTAATAGTCATCTGTGAAGCCTTTATTTTCATTTCTTCATGTTTTCACTGTGTGCTTACCCTTTTCCGGGCACATTCCATGACAACCCAGAAGAGAACTGGAAGGATACAGGCAGTCAGAAATAGTCTATGATCAATGAGTCTTTTTGCCTAAAAGATCCTCAGTCATAAAATCCTGAACTGGAATGATTCACCTTATTAAAATGTAACTACAAGGGAAGTAGATAGACTGTATTTTAATACATTTAGTATTTTTCTGGATATTGGCTAAGTTAATAACAGATTTTATTAAATCTTCATAACAACTCCCAACTCTTTCTTGCAACCTTACAATTATTCCTATTTTATGGATATGGAAATTGAGACTTCAGATTGCTGAAGATTTGGGAGAACAAAGAAGAAAGTACCAGAGGAAAGATGGTGAAAGTTTCAAGGTTTCCTTCAAACAGCACTGTCTACACTCACTCTACTCCTTCGTTTGCACATAATTAGGAAATGCTTCCTTCCTTTGGAAAACTGTGGCCTCAGGACACATCACCCATGAACTCCCAATTCAGATCTTTCAAAAGTGGGTTAAAAATGAAGATGAGGTAGGTTTATCTTCACAGTCAGAGATTCATTTGACTTAAATATAGATGTGCTTTATAGGTACTGCCATAAACACTGCTTACAGGAGCAAGTGCAGCAGTTACTACTAATTTAGTAAGAATTTAAAATATTTCGCTTACCAGTTATGACACAAATATTATTGATTGAAATAATTATAGGAAAGAGGAACCAAAGGAGGAAGGAATCAAGAAGCAATATGAGACTATTTGGAAAGCATTCTAGGCTTGGCCAGGCGTTGCAACTGTAAGCCAGAAGAGAGTAATAGAATATTGGGTATCACAGATGAATCAAGAATTCATTTATGCCCAGGCTTAGCTGAGCCTTATCTGACATAAGACAATGTGTAGCATGTCCTGAAAAAAGGTTTATTATTTATAAAGCTTTGAATTCTCAGGGATAAGCCGTGAATTACAGGGTGAATCTAAAAGCTTTATACTCCAAGATAAGCCACTATTAACGGTTTTTCCTTATTAAAGACAGGAACTTCTGATTTTTTAGTAAACTGACTCAAACATTTTCTACCAAAATTTATATATTAATATGGCTTTACTGTTTAAATAAAATTCCTAGTGAGAGAAATTTTTACTTTGTTTGATAATGAACATGATTCAATGCAGATTTTATAAGCAATCATTGACTAAGAGCTAATTATTTCCTTCATTATATAATCTCTCTTCATTTTGTAACTCTGAATTGAGATTTCTATTATCACTAAAAATTGATTATTCAGGTTGTTTTATGGTGTTCTTTTTGGTCTGTTAAAGAGTTAGTTTTACTAGGATCGTCATATTAATAAAGCAGGGTAGATGCAATTACTTGACTGTCCCTAAAGCAGGAGCCTCAGTACCTAACTAGGTGAAGCCTAGAGTGAATAAGCTTAACCACGCTGCTATTTCACCACTGATTAACTCCACTGATTTAATACAGCTGAGGTAAAGATACTAATCAATTATTCACACAAAAGTTGTGGTACTTATACATTAAACGCTTCACGTATTCAAAGTGACCTACTTCCTGTCACACTAATTATATGAGAGAATAAAATTAAAGAACATGTATGAAATGTTGGCAATTGTATCATAGATGTTTGCTTTTGCATGGATATATACATACGTTTTTTGTTTGTTTTTCGGTACTAGGGCTCCAGCCCTTCTTTACTGTGAAATGGGGCCTCTGCCACCACATTGACCAGGCTGGGCTTCAACTTTGGATCCTTCTTGCCTCAGCCTTTCAGAGTGCTGGGATTACAAGTGATAATAATTTTAAAGGACTGTGATTCTATCTCACTCCATGATACACTTCCCCAAAAAGATTTGCCTCGGCGCACTCCTGTGGTGCTGTTTTCCTTGCCTTTCCTTCATACTAAACTTTCTGTTACTTCACAAAAGGAAACTCACCTATGAAGAAATTTAAATCAGGCACAGTGTCCCGACATGCAATAATGTCCCAAAAGAACAAGTAAAAATAGTTGTTCCCTAGAAGCTTCCTACATAATTTTTCAATATTCATTACAATATCTATTATTCAATGGTCAACTTTAATAAGTGTTTAGGATACAGAGAACAAGAGATAAACAACTTTTAATAAACCACCTTTTCTTTTTAAATGAACATATAGACTTGACTTACACATATTATAGTAATATACTCCTTTCTTCATTAATATTTCATCCCTTAAAATATCCACATGCATGTACACATTTGTTCACAACATGGTTATTATTCTGATGGTACACTGCCTGTTTCCTCTGCATCACCAGGGAGGAAAAAAAAATGATCACTATTATTTTGTACCAATTTAAATTTGTGCACAAAAACCTGTGAATATAAAAAATGTTAGCAATAACACATACGTATCTTTTAACATTATAATGTAGTTTCTTATAATACTTCATTATACAGTAACCCAAGGGCAAGGAAGTTGTTTTTATTTCTGTGAGTGAGAAAATTGATGTTCCAGAGCATATACAGGTGGTAATAAGCCAAACTAGGACTAAAGTTTAAGCCAAGGGTCTCTGAAGTCTGTGATTTCCCACTGTATTAAACCGTCTCATGAAAACTGCTCAACTTGGGAAGAGCTGTGTTCTCTAGGTAAGCTTTTACAATATGCATTGGAGGTGATGACCCCACTCTAAAAGTGGAAAATCTATCTTAATTCTGGTTAGAAAAGCTGTATGATTTATAATGAAAGGGTTTTTTTTCAGAACTTCACAAAATGTAATTCCCATGGCCATATAAAGAAACATAGTGTTTAAATAACCCTTCAAGTGCACCTCAAGGAAATGATCTGTGTCTTTCAAGATTTCAAAGAAGCGTTTATGTCTAGGAAAAGCATAAAGAAGGACCTTGATAAGTCATTCAGTCTACTTCACTGGCTTTTGGATACGTACTATTAATACATGTGAAATGCACAATTCCCAGTTGGTGATGGGACACAAAGAACTTAGCAACACACAAGAGGAATGTATGTAGTCTTAGACTTTCCAGGTGTCTCTCCCTAACAGGACACTGCAGAATTTCAATTTTTGTTCTAGAAACAAATTAGGTACATTTCAGTGTAATTTATAGGTGAGTGTTCTCAAGCTTTGGGCTTGTTCTGTACACCATGAAATTCAAGGGGTAACTATGTTTGGTCTAAAAAGTAAGAACTGTGGAAAGGAGTATTAATGACACCCCCATACCCAAAAAAGGACACACATGATAAAATCACAAATATGTGTAATCATATGTATGCATCAGATGTTGATTTACATAAAATTGTTTTAAATTGTAGCAGTTTGGGTTTGTAGAAAGCATTTCTAAATAACCCCTCAATCTTTCCTGTATTTTACAATAAAAATGTTGTATCATTGAGTCTTTTGGTTTCTTGAGTTGAATTACTTTAAATCTGACAGCACTGTTAATGGAAAAAGCTCTCATTAAATTATTTTTATGATTTCAGTCCTTTGTACTAACCAGGGGTTTTCAGATGATACTGTGAAAAACAATTAGAGCTGGTTAAAATAAAAGACTCTGATTTTGTAAATCTGAATTAAGCAATTGCATTTTTTAACGTGGCTTCTGGCTGACTCTAATGAGTAGGCATATGAAGTATACTTTGAGACACACTTTGAGAACAGATATTATTCTCCTTGAATCAGAAATCTCTATTGTGTTTCCCATACCATCTATACCCATTTCTAGGACTGTTACTGTTAAAAAAAGAGTCCTTTTCAAATCTCCTGTCAAATTGTTAGAATGAAAATAATTTTAGCATCTGGGGTCATTTATCAATCAAAGAGCAGGAAAACCTAATACCTTAGTGTATACTACTATAAGAAGTAATATTATCAACAGATTTCATACATTGTATACACAAACATTTTTATTGTACACATTATATGTCTGCAATTTGTGACAGATAGGATTATATAAATATGTATTTAAGAATGGGATTCTGAATTATTTAGGGTCTAATTCAAGCAAACTAAAGGCTCATCACAGGTGTTTTAAATTGCCAATCTTAGAGATGAACCTTAAGAGCCTTATTAGTCAAAGTATACTTTCTGGACCAGCAGTAACAGCATTGTGTAATTAGACATGCAGACACACAAGCCTCACCCCATAGCTCTGAGATGACTTAGTGGCACACATAAACATTTGATAAAATTGATTTATTTCTTGATCCTTTCTATAGCTTCTCAGCTTTGGTCTAACTTTCTCTACTATTCCCCACTTCTCCCTCTCATTCATAAACCTTTTTATTTTAAAAAAAACATCATCTCTTGCCTTTTTCTTACCTCCAAAGGGAAAACCACATAGAGTCTAACTAGGTAGCTCACAAGATTCATTCACAAGTTTCTCCCTTTTAACCAGGGAAAACTGTGTGCTGGCTGGAAATGAATATCTTTGGAAATTTGTCTGCTCATGAAACTTCACAGGTAGCTGCTCTACATTCTTTGGTCTTTCTAGGATTATGGTTATGGAAAAACAAGCAGCCCATTCAGAGAAAAACATGATTTGTCGTGTGTAAAAAGAATAGTGCTATTACAAAAAGCAGACCCAGATGCTCCCACAATTCCAGTGTTACAAAAAGACACTGCTGCTGCTGCTAAGGCACAGGTTATTATCCTGAAACCACCTGAGAGTGTGCTAATGTATGTTGCAAGTAATATTATTAATCCTGTTTACTTTATCTAAATAGGCAAAGCCCAAATAGGTAGGCTAATATTCTGTTGTCTCCTAGTAACAAAGAAAAGCAGTTTCAGGAAATAAAACTACGGAAGTCAGATATCCTTTCTTATTTCCCAATTGTTTCAACTCCTCTCATCAAGTTACTAGAGACAGTCAACATGCCTGGTGCTGGAGAGAAATCACTCAGGTAAGCTGAGGCTGCCCCTTCTGTTTCTCCATCTGCTGAGCTGTTAACATGAAGACATATTGACAAGGGCTCACGGAAAACATGGAATATTTCATCAGTAAGATTATGCTGCCCTAGAGACAGATGTTAGAAAGCTGTAATATTTAAAAACAAAGAGATAAACACACACTTGAGGAGAAATAATAAAACAGTTTTACAGGTAAGGTAGAAAATTAAAAAGAAAAAAGGAATGATGCAAAGATAGATGAGAGGTTTATATTAGTATATAAAATGGCACAATGCACTCGTCTAGGAAAAAAAACACTTATATGTGCCTCAGGCAATCATTTATCATTAGGCAGAGATTCTCAGAGCACACTGGGTAGATCTGTAAGAAGTACTTAGCACGGCTGATTATGATTACAGAGAACAGACTTATCTCATGTCATCAGACGGTTAATGTCAGGGCTTAGACGTAAATCCATATACAAGAGTTTTTATAAAATTTAAACATGAAAAATGATGTATGCTTTGGTAATTTACATCCAGCAAACATAAAAGCAACATTAAGTAATGATAACAATGGATTTATTGAGTGATTTTGACTTCAGAGGTTAAAGCATTTTGTTTTCACTTATTTGTACTAGAGAAAGATACTGAAAAGACAATTGTAACTGAAGGTTATATATAAATATTTACAATTGACATATTAGCTGTACAGTAAGCCAAAATTTAACATATTTAAACAGTAGATTCCCATGTTTGTAAAAGTTTCGTATTTTTTGTAAATAAAATGCAAACAGTGGCAACAATAAAGTAGAAGCAACTTTAGCTTTGAATTGAAACAGATTTGAGTTCAGATTTATTTCAGTTTTCTCAGTTGTAAAACAAGAATAATAAATGCCTACCTCAGAATTGCTAATAAGATTGAATATCTTGTTAGTAAATACTATAGCAATAAATACCAAGCTATATCATTACAACAACAAAAAAACTCCACAAAAACCAAAAAATTAACCCAGGTAAATCATTCTAATTCTAGATCATCTTTATCTTAAAATCTCAAATTCTGCCTAGAAAGTGAAACCCTTACTTACCATTTTCTCCCCTTGGGAAGGGGACAATACCCCTTAAAAAAGGGAAAGCTTAGGACAAAGGGAGGGTTCAGAGACAGGAAGTTGGATGCATACTTCTACCAGGAAAGTGGGGAATGAGCTATGAAGTCTAACTTGATGGTCCAGACTATTCTCTCTCAAGGATGAAAATTCAGAGGAATAATGACAATAACAGAGCTGAGAGCTTCAAGAATTTTCCCGGCTTCCTGTTTAGGATTGTAGGTGACAACCTTGCAGGAAAACCACAGCCAACATAGGATTGTTACAAACAGAATATAAGGGCAGACCACGGCTCGGTAAGGCAGGTGGCCTCAAGTGTCCTTGGCTGTTGCCCAGCAGGTTCTGGTGTCAAGAGATTTCATCACTAGCCTGGTAAGGTACGTGGAAAGCTGTTGCTGAGAGCTGAACATAAGAGGCCACCTGTGTTACTGTGAGATGACTGGAGAGCAGATACTGCATAGAAGAAAGACCAGCCTAGGATCAGGGAGTACATGTAGTTGATATGAGGACCACAAATGCTGTTGAGAAAAAAAAAGAGAGAGAATAAATGAGAAAGGGAGGTAAAAGGCTCTGAAAAAGCTATGGAAGAATAATGGTTTGACCAATCTATGAGGTAGCCAGTAATTAGTTTGGACTAAATATATATCAATGGAAATAAGAATTCATATGATAACACAAAGATCCTCATAGACCTGGGGTTCTCTTCCACTAGTACACATGAACATTTCCTGATGCTCAAAAGCCATTTCTGCAGAGAGAAAGTGTAATAGAGGGGACTCTGTTGGAGACCACTACGAAGCGGCTCTGAGCAGGATTTAAAATTAACTGGCTTTCTATGTTTATCTGGGAGTCTGTCCTAGGCCTCAGTCCCTTGCCTGGCGACGGGAGCTGACTCAGTAAGTGAACCTCTATGAATCACTGGTCCTGGCTGAGGTGTACAGTGGCCTGTGAGGCCAGAGATACCTCAAAGGGCAACATAAGGCTACAGCTGCGGACGCTTGGCTCCAACCCTACTTTATCGATGGACTGCAGCTGCTGGGATCTCACTCCTGCTGTCTCACTCCTACCATAAATGTTATCATGGAGGTAAGACAATTCTACTAATTAGCATAATTTACTACTTGGAGAAGACTTTGAAGTGACTTTCTAGTCCTGTTCATTTCCTGTACTTTCTTCAGTATCCCCTCTCTTTGTTTGAATACCTAATAAACATGGGCTTCCCAATGAAGCCCTTTGTCTTGGGCCCTAGAATCTCGAACTCTGCAGAGGGTTTTAATATTTCTGGAGCCCTAAAATCATACCACTTGTATCATTTATTTAAGTCTTCTCCATACATTCATTTGGGAGACTGGGGATCTAGGCCAGACCCTGATAACTCTGAAAGATGGAAACTTGCTCTAAAGAAACTACTTTAAATCTAAAAACTGAGTTATTTTTATTTGTCATCTTAAATTCCATCCCATCCTATATTGCTCAAAATACCTTCAATTTTAAAGAAATTAAAAGCCTTCTTATCTCTTGATGTATTAAATGCAATATATCAGTTTCTGTAACTTCTTCTGGTAGATCTGAAGAACCTGAAATATACACTCTGTATCCTTTTCATAATTTAAAGTACTCTAATTTTATTAGATAATAAGGAAGTAGTAACTTACATAATTATTTCCTGTTTTTCCTTTTTAAAATTACTGTATGGCTATGTAGAGGGGTGATATTAATTTACTCATTCCTTTAACGGTTATTTACTGAGAACCCACCATGTGTCAGTCATTAAAATAAGATAAGTAAAATGCAGAATCTATCTTTAATAAGTTTGTGTGATATATAAATGGTTTAAGTTATAGAAAAGCTAGTGTAGTATATTACTACCTGTTTTAACTGTAAACAAAGCAGAGCAGGACACTACAACTATAAAAATGAATTACCTTTTCCTATGTACTATGTGTAGTGCAATCAAAAAAGAGTTTTGTACAAAATAATTTACAGAAAACTATTTCCAGAATAACAATAATGACTTAAGTTGCAGAAATCAATTAGTATGCCAAACTCTATTTTAAAAATATAATCACTATGGTTGAAGAGGAATTAGATATGAAAGTGTAAATTACCTTTCTAAATCATTACCTTCCTCAATTTGTTATAGCTAGCAAAGGTATACAAAAGTTACTACACGTAAGAACTACATATTATATAGTTATTTTAGTTAGTAAATATTGCTCAATAATTTTAAGTAATTGGATAAAAGTAATTTTAAGTAATTGGATACTGTTGCAATTTTTGGCTTAACAAGTCAAATAACATTGTAGTAAATATTCTAGGATAGTGTGTGTGTGTGTGTGTGTGTGTGTGTGTGTGTGTGTGTGCTACAAGATACGATTACTACAGCCCTTAATTTCTTAATTTCAGAGTTTCACATTACTAGTTTCAGAGTTTCACATTACTAGTTTTCTTAATTGTGTGTTATGAAATCCTAAAGAATATACATTATAACATGATCTATGAACACAAAGAAATATTAGGGGCTTAGTTTTTAAAACTACCCTGATATTCTGAATGGCATTGCAGATTTTTTTAAAAAGGCTCTTAAAATTATCAACTCACAGAATTTTTTAATTTCTTATTTTCCTTACTTCTTTCACCATGAAGTTTGTTAAATTTATGTATTGGCATACAAGGAGAGTATACATAGAAAGGTTAGGAAAAAATTTCTGCTTTTATTAGTTACCGCTGATAAAGCTGATATTTCAGTCATCCTAAATGTGCATCACATACTAATTGAATGGTGACATTGCTAGATATTATAATTCAACAAATGGAATCTGATTTATGATAAGTATATCAAAAACAATATTTTATTTTTTCCCAACCCCCTCTTTATCTTCATAGAATACAGCTGAATTTGAAATGTATGGTTTCTGGCATATCTGGGGTAAAGTTATACTAGGAATTTACCAGATCTGTCAGTCTCTAACTTTCTTCCATATTTCATTATATCATTCCAGTTATAATTAGTTGTCTGGTAAAATTAAGAACAGTCTATTTCAGTAAATCCTCATGTGAACATTTAACAACTTTTTGTTAGAATGACAGCTTAGTGGCAGAAAGAATAAACCAGAAAGGGACAGTCACTAATGTAACCTTAGTTAACTCAATATTGCCAGCTCAATGGAAAATGTTAAGATTTTGGGTTTTTTCTTTTTTTGCTATTAATCATGCACATATTTCTTGTCAGGAGATGAGCGTCAGTTTGAGCGTCATTCCTGCCTCAACCAGCATGTTTTGAACTGACCTGTCTTCACTGCTATGGCTCCCTAGAAACTTTGCTGCTGATGAGATTGATTCAGCTGAATGCTTTGACGTTCAGCTTGTCAGTGAAAGCTATTTTAATCTTTAAGATACAACTCCTTTCCAAGACTGCAAACTGTTGCTGCACACATACCACATTCTATCACTTGATTACCATAAAGAAGGAAGCTGAACAGTTACTATTACAGATCATAGTTATAGAACATAAATTGTATGAGCTTAGCAACGTACAGGAATTGGGAGTTCCTGAGTCTGCATCACCGTTCTCCACCTACTACCTACATATGTAGCCCTCTCTGATGCGATTTGCTCTTCTGCAGAGTAAAAGTCCTCACTTCAAAGAGAGATCATGAGGACTAAATGACATTCTTCACAGTATTTAGAATAGTAACTGCCTCAGTTAGTTCTAAATGTTAGCAATAATTTTTATTACTGCTTTTTAGATGGAGATTTCCAATTCTTTGCCACGGACTGATCTGCTCACTATATTTTCTATCCTTTTTAGGTTTCTTTGCCTAGACTTGAAAAAGAGGATAAGGAAAAATAAAACATTACTCCTTTCAGGGTTTTTTTTGGGGGGTATTGGGGGATCAAACTCATGACCTCACACTTACCAGACAAGTGCTTGAGCCACTGAGTTAAATCCCTGGCTCAGGATATTCTTCTGTACACATATGAGCTCTAGTTTCACAGCAGGGAGCACCACAATTGTGGCAGAATAATACTTTTATAGTATGAATCTTTTTCTTTTTTCCCTGTTCTTTCTTTCATTGTTGTCTTTTCCCATTCAGGCAGCTAGCCTATGGGTTAGGGCTCCATGTGGAACTGGACAGATGTGAAGCTTCACTTTGAGGGATTTTGGAGCAGAGGAAGGTCATGCCTTCCTGGCATTAATGAAAGGCCCCAAAGCCGAATTCCATAATTATCTATGCTCAAGTTTTTATATGACCCAAGGAAATGTATGTCATGTACTGTTGCAATTTTGGATAGCTTCCCAGAGTTCCTTGGGTCATATCACAGAGCAATGATGGTAAACCTCTTAGCTCTTTCAAAGACACAAACAGGCTGCTGCAGCATGTGTTCCACAGGTTTGCCGCCACTGTCCTAAAGGGGAAACAAAAGGACACCAAGCTCCTCACTGAACATGGAGGCAGAGCTTCCCAGGTGAAGAACATCACTAGGATGTTTCCCGTTGTGGCAGGAACTATGCTGTGCAATGCCAGAACTTGCTTTCCCTCCTGGGCACAAGCCTATCTAACATGTCCTGACTTCCTTGAGTTAGGACCTATATAAAATTCTGTATACACTCTATTCCTTTATCTCATACTGAATGTATATGAGGCAGTAAGAGGCACATAATTCTAAAAGGCAGCAGTCACTAAACTAGAAACTAAAATTCAACATTTATTTAAGCTATCAATGTAGGCACTAATGCACATTAGTATTAGCAATAGCTGACTTTATTATTAAGAAAAAAATCAGAATATGTTCATATCCTACTACAACTATAAGAGGCATATTACATATCATTTATTTTCAGTAAATGACCTTAATATCATTTATTTATTACTTGGAAATAATTATAAACATTAGCTCTATTACTAGATGTCTAAATTTCATACATTAATAAAATACTTATATTGCTATAAGGTACTTAAAAATTTTGATAACTGTATTTCAATAAAATTGCTTTTATAATCCCATAAGGTTTTTGTCCCTAGGTTCCATCAGATTGCCAAAGGGGCTACAGAACAAAACTCACAAACACTGTTCTAGATGGAGCCCTGCAGAGTTAACTCTGAGCAGAGCCTCTTTCTTTTCCTCTCTGCTCCACAAGCGCCCCCACAAGGCTGACCCACTCTGTGAGAAGTAAATTTTAATGTGTGAAATTACTGAGATTTTGAGGTTATTTTTTAAAGCAGTTACTGCAGATTAAACTACTCTGCTACCATAATGGCCCAAATATGGCAGAGAATGCCTAAAAGGCCTTTGGCTAGAAAAGAATGAGAAATGAAGAGTGAAGACCAAAGATTAGATGGGGGCACCGAAAATATCTCATGAGATATCAGTTTGGGAAGAAGGTGAAGCAAGGAAACATCTTCTACTTAGAAATAAAGAGCAAGTACGATAATACAAAGAAACAATTTTTAAAGTTTAAATTTCTACAGAGATTTATAACTGCCACAGTCATTTATTTTTATTTATTATTTTTCTTCTACCAGAATGGTAGTTATTTTTGTTTCGCATAGCAGATGCTAAGGACTTTTGAATTTATCAAATTTCACATACATCTACATGGCTTTAAAGCAATCTCTTATTAACTCTGCTCTTGGCTAGAATTTAACGCTGAAGAAAAATATTCTGAAAATGAGATCAACACTACATACATTGTGTAAGTCCTATATGGGAATTGAAAGTTGGTGAGTTTTTTCAATAGTTTGTTGATTTAAAGAAAATAGTACTGCCTGGGGAATGTAGCTCACCTGACACAGCACCCGGCTTGGCAAGTATCAGGTCCTGAGTTCAATTCCCAATACCAAAAACAAACAAACAAAAAGTATTAATAGAGCCCTCCAGGGTTTTCAAAACATGTATAAATCTGTCAGGCATGGAAGTACACATCTGTAGCTCCAGTTGTTTGGGAAGATTAGGCAGAAGAAACACAACTTTAAGCCTAGCTTTGTGGTACAGTACTTGTCTTAGTATGCATGAGGCCCTGGATTCAATACCTGATACCACAAAAACACATAGCACAAGTAAAACAGATACCAATTTAACAACATCTCTCTCAAGGCATTAAATTTTGTTTAATTTTATCTTCCTGTATAGATAATTTTGCTGCCCTTATTTAACCTTAAATCAGATGAATCAGTCATTGATAAATCTTCAGGCTAAAAAAATCAGAGGCAAAATTCTTTTAAGGACAGATTTCTTTCTAATCCCCAAGGATTTGGTGTATCTAACTTTTACTATGAAACTATCAATGAATGAAAATAAAACGAGCTTAGTGTGCTGAGTAGGCTGAGTCTCAATATTAAAATACAAAAAATATAATCCATTTATACTTAAATTCTGTATGATATAAACAGTGGTCTACCTTGATCGCTGCTGTATACTCAGCTGTAAAACTAATGGCTGACAGCTAAGAATTTTATGAATAAGTAAATTGAGTAACTTGCATTCATTTTAATTAAATGTAGTATGCATTGTTCACCTTGGACTTCACCATGAGAAAGTTATCTCCTTTTTTTTACAGAGGGTAAGGTGTTTAGAATAAGAAGTTAAAGATTCTAAATTACTGATAGCTCACTGACCCTTGAAATTCTTAACATGATATAAAGTTCTGTGACAAAAAAATGTTCTGTTATTATATTACTATAGTTAAGCTGGTTCCTAAAGATACCAGTTTTTTAAAACTACTATTCAGTGGCTTCTCGGATGTAATGTGTTTAGAAGATACAATAAATTACTTGGTACTTTAAATGTCACACATTCAAAAGAGAAAACCCCTTAAGTATCTATTTCTCTTTCAAAATGTTGTGTTGCCATTCTTACCTTTTTTTTTTTTTTTTTTTTTTTTTTGCCGTTTTCCAACCATTTTCTCTTTTGCTGGAACAATTTAACAAATTTGAGGTATCTATTATTTTTAACTATAATTATTTCAGAATGCATCTCTAAAGGATAAAGATGTTTTTGCAGCATAATACAAATATCATCTAGCACGTCTAACAAAACTATTAATAATTCTTTAATACAGTGCATATTCCAATTTAGCCTGTTTTCTTAAAACTGTCTATACTTTTTTAAAAATTATGATCCAAACAATTCCTAACAATTAGTTTGGTTCATACTATGTTTAAAGTTTGTTTTAATAGAAAATTCCTTGTCTTTTTTTTTTTTTTAAATGGTATACTTACTTGTTGAAGAAAGTAGGTCATTTGATCTGTAGAAAATTCCCTCATCCTGAATTTGGTTGATTGTATCATGGTGTAGTTAAACATGTTTTTCATTTTCAGTAAAAATGGTAGGTAAATCTCTTACACATGCATACTTTTCTTTTGGCAAGAATACTTCATAAATCATAGTATATACTTCCTGTTACATTAAGAGGCTCATAACATTTGTCTCCACTTTTAATGATGCAATACTGACCAGTTACTCTAAGAGTTGTCAGTCTGATCCATGGTTATGAAGTGCTACAACTTTCACCTAATATTATTTGTTACCAATGACTATTGGCTGGATCCATTATTTCATCAAGAGTTGCAAGCAGTGATTTTATAACTTTTTATCTTTTCTCATTTCTTAATTAGAAGAATTTTCTTCAGATGGTTACTCTAAAACCCAACTGACAGCATGCTTGCTTCTTTTACTAATCTACTTTCAGCATGAGTTAGTGTCCTATGAATTTCTAATAGTGAGCAATTAGTCCTCATCCAACCTATTCTACACTCTCCTCCAATTATCTCACAAGTGCTTTCCTGTAAAACCTTGCAGGACTCAAATGAGGTAATATAGCAGGTGACTGGGCAGACCAAGGTGGGTGCAAGAGTTTAAGATAGGAAGGATCCTGGCCAAGAAAGAAACTATACCTCAAGCAGACTTTAGGAGATGGAATCCAAGTCTTCTGAGCTGTCTTGGACATCAGTGCTCTCAGTGGATTCGCTGGATTCCTTGGTGTCACTGCCACTATCTGTGGCAGCTGGGCTCTCTTGCTGGCAGGTCTTCTCCGAATCCGGAAATATGCCGCTGTGGGTCTCCTGGTTTTCCCCGGAGCCCAGTACCACATGCCCGCCCTTCTTCAGCTCCAGCTGCCGTCTCAGCTCACCTGCCATCTGTGAGAGATCCCGCCTCATCGCATAAGCATCCTCCCCATCCGCATAGTATCTGGGCTCCACCTCATTGACCTGGAAGTTGAGGGTGTGAGAGTAGAGGTGCAAGGCCGCCCGGTTACTCTTCCTGACGTGCAGGGACACGTACCTGGCACCGAAGTTCTCCACCATGGCCCGCGAGGCCTGGTCCATCAGCTTCTGTGCCAGGCCAAGGCGCCGGTGTGAGCGCTTTACGGCCAGCGAGGTGATATGCCCATGGGCGACATCGTTAGGGTCCTCCTCCATTTTGGCCAGGACATAGCCCACGACCTTTCCATCCTCGTCTTCGGCGATGTAGGAGAGTTGTGGCCAGGAGAGACCGTGGTAGAAGTAATACTTCATCTGGTAGTTCTCGGGCAGGCAGAGGAGGTTGCAGTGCTGCATGTTCATCAAGTCGTCTGGCCGGGCATTGCGGATGTTCATGTTGACTGCGATGAGCAGGGAGCTGCCCTTCAAGCTGCGATCCAAAGACACTAAACCAAGCGCCGGTGATCGTCCCAGAATGGAGCTCAAGAGCCCGAAATTACTAGTACAGGTCGTGGTGCTGGGACAGCAGGAAGGCTGGCTTGCAGAAAGTGGGAGGGGCGGGGCCGAGCACTGCTTCCGGAAGTGTCTGGTCCCAGCCAATGAGAGCACCACTTCCTTGTGTCAGCGTGCCCTAGGCTAAGCAGGTGAGAAGGAACGACTTCCTTTTCCTCTCCACGGTTGAAATAAAAGGTTTGGTTCATGTTTGCCAATATCCTTTTATTTGTTTCTAGTGTAATGTTTTCAATGTGAGTATATCTAGGAACAGATTTTATAAAACTGAGCAAACCTAATAAGCAGGGTTTAGATGAAAAATCCGAATATTGCCTGAAGACCAAGAGCTCTCCTGTCACCTTCTCTGGTCACCATCCATATCCAAAGAGTGGCTATGATTAGACATTTTTTGTTTTTTGAACCAAGACTGGAACTGAAGACCTCAGGCTTGCTAGGCAGGTGCTGTGCCACTGAGCTATCTAGCCGGTCGCTACATTCGTAACAGACTTAAAATACATGCATTCTATTTTGGTCAATTTCTTTTTTTTTACTATTTGCTATTACTTATTACTTATTATGTATTACTTATTTGCTATAAGTCAATTTCAGGCACCTTATATATAATTGAGAATTCATTTTACTCTTCTTATTTGATATTCCATTGACTATATTACAATGCATTCATCCATTGTGTAGTTGATGACTATTTTTTGTTATATATTTCCAATTAAATATACTCAAACATATTAGAATGTATCTTGTTGATGCATTCATATTTACTTAGAACTGGAAGTTTTGCCTCAGAATATAAAAGTGTTCAGCTTTTCTAAATATTGCTGAAGGTTGCTGAGCAACCTTCCAAGTGATTGTTCCAAATTGGATGTCCCTCTCCTTTTTATTTTTCTATTTTATCCTTTCCTGTGTGTGGTAGAGTTACTGCATGCTAGTTTTATTTTACAAGTTTCTGATGACTACTGAAGTTTTGTACCTTTATACAGGTGTATTATCTATTGTATATACTCTTTTGGGAAATGGCTGCTCAAGTCTATGGCTCATTTTTCTCTTGGGTTGAGTCTTCCTAATATTTAATAATATTTAAGAATATTTAAAAAGCTAGCTAAAATAGGAATCCTTTTTATACTGGTTGATTTTTCTCCCTTTTAAAATGATTTATTTATTTATTTTGATATTAGGACTTGAACTCAGGACCTTGCCCTTGCTGGGATCTTAATGGTGATTTTTGACACCAAGTGTGAACTTTGTTTTAGGGCAAGTTGTTCAGTTTTAAAATTTTAGAGCTAGTGTTTTGTGTATATGTGTTCTTTCAAAGAAGTCATTGCTAAATCTGTGGCCACCAAAGTGTTCTATGTTTACTTTTATAATTCTTTTACATTTTATGCTTAAATCTTTAATTTATTAGATTAATTTTTTGTTTTGTGTATTGGGGACTAAAACCAGAACTTTTCAAATTCTGCTGAGTTACACTATTTTTATTACTTGCACCTTAAATAGCCCTGAAATCTCCAGAGTTGAAAGCTTTGTCTTCAGCTAATGAAGCTGTGGGTAGATAATGGATACTTTACAGGTGGGAGGGTGAGTAGGTGGAGGAAGTACATCATTGGTGATATGCCCTTGAAAAGTTATTAGGACCCTAGCTCCTTGTCTTTGCTTTCTGATATACCTAAGGTGAGTAGCTTTGTTCTACCATATACTCCTTATGGGTCCTGACTTAAATCTCCAATCTCCCAAACAAGTGTAAGGTGAAGGTTTAAATAAAGTGATGCAAGTCATATGATTATAGGGCTCCATGAGGTTCAAATCTTTTAGCTGAGTTTGAGACTCTGAGGGCAAAGACTTCTCTGGACAACTCATTTTTATTAGGTCCAAAACAAAGGGTGGAGAAACTGAAGAAAGCACAAGCAATGAGCAGGACCTTGGGAGTCGCTTCAAGGTTGTCTCCAAGTAATGAATCTTGTCCATTGAGGAGAACCATCTTATCATGAAGACATGGTAGGAGTGAGAGTGTAGGAGTAATTTCTGCAGCTGCAGACTCTATCTGCTTAATTGATGTTTGAACCAAGTGTCTGCAGCTGTGGCTTTGTCTTGCCTTTTGAGTTATCTCTGACCTCACAGGCCACTATAGGCCTCAACAGGACCAAGGTTCATAGAGGTTCACTTACTATGAATCAGCTCCCATTGCCAGGCAAGGGGCCTAGGCCTAGGACAGACTTACAGATAAACATAGACAGCCAGTTAGTTAATATTAAATCCTGCTCAGAGCCGCTTCGTAGTGGTCTCCAACACTCCTTATCATAATATTCTACCTCACCACAGGCCCAAAGCAAAAGGGCCAAACCAGCGTAGATCAAAACCTCTGAAACCGTGAACCAAAATAAAATTTGCCTCCTTTTCAGTTTATTTTCTTAGGTATTCGTCACTGTGATGGAAAATTAAGATACCAGCTCTGAAATTTATTTTGGTCTATATTATGAGGTAGCAGTTCAGCTGTTTTTCCTGCCTAGATAATGCAACATCACTTATGATTTTTTATAATTTTTCTCCACTGTGGTACTGTATTACCTTTTACATAAATCTCAAATTCCATTTCAGTTTATATAATACACTATCTTGATAAAACATGGAATGTTTCTTAATAGTATATGGAAGCCATCACGTATAGTCTCTGTTTATAAATAAGCCAATTATAAACCCTATAATTGTTTCCATTTATTATACAATCACTCTTTCTCATAACTTTAGGAATTGAAACATCAAAGTCTATTCTGCTATAATTGTATTATGGCTAGGTCATGAATATTTGTTTTAGCATTCTTTCCAATGGGAATGCACAGTCCTTCAATAGCACTAATAGTCTAGACCCATGAGATTTGTGAAACATAGCTTGCACAGCTATTGCTTTTTGCTAATATTTGATAATTGCTAATGTTTTATTAATATATTTTAAAGATTTAATATGAAAGTTTGGCTTCTTGATGTTTTGACTCTACTTTGTAACAATTATTTCTCAGTATTAGTCACAATGAAAAACTTCTGTTTTGTTTTGTACTCCACACTATGGACAAGAATATGTGTGTTGAGGTGAAATAGCAGTGAAAGCATGATCCAGGTGTCCTGTTAATAGGTTCTTTAAAAAATATGAAGTACAAAATTTTAAGCACACTGTGTTCTTGGATACAGGCCTTTTAAATGCAGCCTACGTTTATAGATCCTACATCCTACCACATAAACCAGTTTCTGGCTTAATGTCTGAAATAGTAATAGCCATTAAGGTGAACAATGCACCTGACTTATTTTGAAGGAGACAGCATACCAAAACCAATAGTAGCAAGCATGGTTTTTAATTCACAATAATGTTATCTTTGCACACCTCTAAACAAAAGAGGGTACATTATGGCAACCCTTCTGTCAGAGAAATGTTCTATTTAATACGATAATTAGAGCACTAATGTTAAAATATAGCAACTAGTTTTATTATGATAGATAATTCTTTCTTGACAGAGAGGTTGCCATCATATCCCCTCTGTATTTGTGCATTCATTTCCATTGCAGTGGGAAACATGGTTCTAAGATCAAACACCCTTGACACTTCAGTGTGGTGTGGTCTGTAAGTAGGACTTAATTTGACCCCACTTATTGAGGTCAAGTACAGACATTCCCTTATGAATCCTACTTCTCATTTCTGGGCTATAGATTTAGAGCTTCTTATAGAGATTATTGGTAATTTTTTTTATAATTCATAAGTATATAAGGCCTTAGAAATCTTTATTAATATTTTGTAAATATATAAATGTCTTATAATGAAAGTTTCTTTTGTTCTATCAGGTCGTAAGTCATATTTATTAATATTTTATGGAGAGGAAAAACTCAATCTTTTTACTAGCTGTATTTCTCACACATAACTCTTGATCATTTTTCAGCCTCATGTTTCTATATCTTATATCCTACACTCATGTAATATAAAGCTTTAATGAATGAATAACCTTTATATACTTATTGTCATTATCATTATTATTATTTGAAGTACTGGGGAGTGAACTCTCCAGAGCTTTACAATGAGCTACATTCCCAGCACTATTTTTTTTGAAGGCAGTATATTTTCTGTAAGTCATCTAAGTCACTAAGATGTCCAGTCTGGGCTCAGACTTGTAATACTTCTGGCTCAGCTTCCTAAACACTGTGATTATCTAAATAATTTCTTTAGAGTATGAATTAAGAACTTCATTTCCTTCTCATTTTTAATGGAGTTTACTCCTAATCTTATGAAGAGATTTTAAATAATGCTAATATTAGAATGTGATTTTGTCTTTGGGAGCATTGTGACAGCATGGGAACTACAAGCTGTAGACAAAGAGGTGCTTAAGACCAAAATAGAGGAAGTCTCAGTCAGAACAGCAGCTATAGGCAATAGGAAAAATCCAACGCATATTGAGCAATGCTTTATTCTTTGTTTTCAGGTGTCTGTGTTAACACCTACAATTCCTTTTTCCTTATTGCAAAAGATACGTGGACAATATGATTATCAATTAGGTGTTCTTGAGAAGATTACTTGAAAAGAGGAGAAAACTTTGGTTTCTTTTGACAGAAGTCTTGACTCTTCGATATTTGTTTAAATTGGACACAGTGAAAACTTTGGATTAGAGGCATATTCAGCATGCACTTTCAGCAGTTGCTGGCTGCACCCAGGACGGGGGAAGACTTATGAAATTTGAGTGAACCTTGAAACCTTGAGAATAGTTTTTATCCTAAAAGAGGACTATACTTCTGTCATTATAAGTATCCAATGTTCTAAGAAAGGAAACAGAAATAAACCTGTCTTTGTAGTAAGAAGATCTACATAAGGAGTGAGATTTCTAGAAAGAGAGTGGCTAACAGAGGCTTATTTTTGATAAAGACAGTTTGTAAGAGACAAAACATTACTTAAATCCTTTTTCCAAATCTGTGTAAACAAAGAAAAGCTTTCATCAGATCCTCAAGGAATCGTGTCAGTGTAAACTGGAGGTCTGTATGATTCATCAGTTGTAATGGAAAAGGAAGAAAGTAAATCATAGAAACTTCTGTAATATATTTAGTAGTATACTTAAAAATGCAGGATAACA